GTTAAACAAACACCAGTCTAGAGAGTTTACTAAAACAAAGATGCTCTGTTTTGTTCTTTAATATATAATATAATAATAATAAATATTCATCAACATATTCTTGTATTATTAGATAATAATATAATAATTAGATAATAATAATAATAATTAGATAATAATAATAGTAATTAGATAATAATAATAGTAATTAGATAATAATAATCAACAAATATTCTTTGATATTTATTAGAATAAGATTCTGGTAATGATCAAACAAGTTTTATGTCATTCTAGGGTTTCGTTTTTTGCAACAAAATGGACCGTAGATATTAGAAGAAAGTTCTTTTTACTTAGGATAAAGACAGACGTTTTAAATTGAAAGAAGAAAAAAAAGAGATATTTAAAACAGGTTAACAGGTTAAATTCCAAAGATAAAATAGTGATCTTTTTCCTGGAAGAAAAAATGATTACTTCACTCACAACAGATATTAATCTCTCGTGTAAATCATTAAGTGATACAGAAATTTCTAAATATATCTGATTTGAGTACATAACAACAACAACAAAAAATGTATATTTTTACTAAGTAAATTAATGAAATGCCAAGAGTTCTTATCTGAGTTCATTATTATGGTCTATATTTATATTAGGTCCTCTTCCACCCTCAGTTTTACACAAACCTAAGAAAACAACGAAACTTCAACTACACATTGGTGAACCCCAGCCACCTCGCCCCCAACAACAAAATAGTATACCTTCTCCACAACAACAGTACAACCAACACCCTTCTCAACAATCCTTTACTCGACAACAGTACCAACAATCCTCTCCTCAACAACCGTTTCCTCGACAACAGTACCAACAATCTTCTCCTCAACAATCGTTTCCTCGACAACAGTACCAACAATCCTCTCCTCAACAACCGTTTCCTCGACAACAGTACCAACAATCATCTCCTCAACAACCGTTTCCTCGACAACAGTACCAACAATCATCTCCCCAACAACCGTTTCCTCGACAACAGTACCAACAATCATCTCCCCAACAACCGTTTCCTCGACAACAGTACCAACAATCATCTCCTCAACAACCGTTTCCTCGACAACAGTACCAAGATCCGTTTGATCGACAACAATACCAACAATCATATTATGAACCTGAAGTTCCAGAAGAACCAAAAATATACACGGGTGGTAAAATACCATCGCGATCTTTTCGAATGTTGCAGACAATGACAGGAGAGAGCCCTCTACTGGATGGTAAGAACATTAATAATATATGTGAAAGATTAAATTTAAGTGTTACAGATCGCTCTTTGGCGCAATAACTTAAATGTTTTTTATTCTGAGAATTACATAATTTTATTTTTTTCCCTTCCCATTACAGGAAAACAAATCAACGTTCGATGTTAAACATTCTGGATTAGGAGTAGAGATACAATGATAAGGAAGTGTTAAGTTGCTTTACGTATGAAAGTGATAGTTTTTTTCTATGTCACCGTATGTCTGAATGTTTCCACTTTACATAGTTAATTAAATATAATATTCAAACAACGTTACTTATAACATCAAAATACATTGTTATAACAAATGGGCACCCTTGCTGTTAACAACATTTTCGGCCGTAAACCCAATAATAATAATAACAATGTTGAAATCAGACCCATTTCCTGCATCACAGTAAATTGTATGTTTATATGTCCAGTAACGAGAATAGCTAATTAAATATATCGGTCAAACTAGTCTTCTTTTTTTACATAATGAGCAGAATTCATTGTTGTATCAGTTGGGTACCCTCACTGTTAGTGATAATTTCGGCCGTAAACCCAATAATAATGTTGAAATCAGACCCATTTCCTGCATCACAGCAAGTCCGCGTTTAATTTGATTGGCAATAATTATTGAAAGATGATATAGTTTCTAAGTGTAGCGGTAAACGACAGAGCTGTGGAGGGAACACACGAGGTTTTTCATTTTATGTGTATGTACATTAAGATGATAGCAAACTTACAGATGCATCAGCCAAATCTAAAATAACCTTTAGAGTTTAAGCCGTCAACGTCATAGGTTGCTAACCGGTAACAATGTTTTTTGTAGCACTGTTGTGACAGTGTTCTTATAATAACTTTTGTACATCCTGAGGTGACGCCGTTTTAGTCGTACAAAGTCTCAGTGCTTAACTGTTTAGAAATTTACGATCACGCGCCGTAACCTCTACAATTTTTTTCTGTCTGACAGATCGTAATGTGTTAAGGGCTAATGCCCCATTTCCACATATTTTAAAGAAAATGAATTTATGCCTCAAAAATATCAAACTCTCTCGTGTTATTGTTTTACGTTTTGTTTCGACTTGCACTAAATGGCGAAGTGTAGATGGGAGAGGGGGGGGGGATTAGTCTACAGTTTATAGGTGCTGTCACGTGGAGATGATTGATTTTCAAATGGATATTTCTATTGTGGGTAAAATTATTATTATTATATGCAAATCTTACAGGTTATTCGAAAGTATCTAACTTCGCAATCAAATTAATGCTTAATAAACGGTATATATGTATTTCCTAATATTCCAGTGTTTTCTTGTATGTCTATGTATATGTGTGTGTACAATCGTTGTCTAATTCTGTGAATGTTTAAGATAAGGTAAATATGTAATTCGTGTACAATTTGGCCACATTTAGGATAGACTATTAACATAAGTTGATTTGGAATAAACTACCAAGGAAGAGGTTATATTTTAAACAAAGATGTCACCAGTGTTCCAATATCGGAACACCGTTTCTGTTGCACGTATTCTTTTGTTGTTTCATCAGAGTCACACATCACATTCTTCTGGTATTTGGTCAACAAAATCAGTCACATATATTGTTTTGATGTTTCGTCAGTTACGGATCATATTGCTGCTATATCGTCAAAACGTCAGTCACATATTAAATTGTTCGATATTTCGTCACTGTCACATATTAGATTGTTCGATATTTCGTCACTGTCACATGTTAAATTGTTTCATATTTCGTCACAGTCACATGTTAAATTGTTTCATATTTCGTCACAGTCACATGTTAAATTGTTCGATATTTCGTCACAGTCACATATTAAATTGTTCGATATTTCGTCACAGTCACATGTTAAATTGTTCGATGTTTTGTCAGTCACATGTTAAATTGTTTCATATTTCGTCACAGTCACATATTAAATTGTTCGATGTTTTGTCACAGTCACATATTAAATTGTTCGATATTTCGTCACAGTCACATATTAAATTGTTCGATGTTTTGTCACAGTCACATATTAAATTGTTCGATATTTCGTCACAGCCACATATTAAATTGTTCAGTGTTTTGTCACAGCCACATATGGTGTATTCATTTACTTTTATTATTTTTATTTCTAGGAGAGGGCGGTACTGATTTTTAAGGTCTGTAATCGGTGACTATTAAACGGAAGAAGAAGAGGTCGCACGTGACAATGATGCTACCAAACGAGTTGATCTCAAGATCAGATACTCCAGCTTTCAAATAATGCGTGTTACCAAAAGAAGGGCTTCTCGCGTCTGGGAGGGAGAGCATTTAGATAGTGTGCATAATATATATTTTTAGGTTACTTTTTCTAGGTGTTTGTTTACCAAACACTAGTACTTGACTGGCAACGCTAGGAATGATAAGTTAATATCGTTGATGAAGTTCCAGAAAGGTCTACAAACTCTGATATACTAATAACTTAACCGTGCTTTTTTCGTCAGTTATCTTGTAACTGACTTAAGGCTTGAATACAAATATTATCAACTGTACTTGTGTTTCTCCTAACGATTAAAGTAGGCTGCCCAAAAGTTGAATCTCTTGCTCTTTTGAGTGATTGAATATCAGTGTTTTAAAATATATTAGTCGTTGTCGGCTTGTCACACAAATTTAATAGTTTTAGTTAACGGTATGTATCTATATATGTTTGTGCCAGTAACATGTTTAGTATTATTGATCTGAATGTTATTCAAGCAAGGATTTTGGGTTGAAATTGATAATTATAAGTTTAGGAACTTATTTATAATTAGGTACTATATTGTATAAAGTTCTTCTAGGATTTAAGAAATTAATATGTTCGCATTTTTAAATAGAAAGTGAATCAAATGTATACTTTTTTAAACGAAATCTGAGGTTATCCAATGATAAAAGGCGAAACAGATATATACACTAAACGCAATCTGAGGTTATCCAATGATAGAAAGCGAAACAGATATATACACTAAACGCAATCTGAGGTTATCCAATGATAGAAAGCGAAACAGATATATACATTAAACGAAATCTGAGGTTATCCAATGATAGAAAGCGAAACAGATATATACATTAAACGAAA